TTGCACAATATACTATTTTCCCACTTTTTGCTGAATTTTCAAAATGGCATTGCTCGTTTATTCGATAATTGATTGTTTGGTGTGTTCAATATATGTTCTTATTCCAAAATCACCTTGTATCGGCCAGTCATTTGATTCCTTCATAAAATAGTCCATGCGACCCGGCTGTAAATTTCGCCGTCATCTGCTATGATAACGGAATGATATAGGTATATATCACAATAAAGGCATGCAAAAACATTATCAAACGGCACCTCTGTGCCAATAATCACTATATCCTGAGCAAAATTGTTGAAAATATAACTTTCGGTGCGATAATTTGCATTTGATTTCGCGAATGGATAATAAGTTAAGCATTATGCTATCTGATGCCAATAATTGAATGGTAGAATTCGAAATTCCTATCTGTGCCTCAATCTGAGCCAAACCTACGGCACACCTTTTTATTTGCTACCATTATTACATACAGTCCAACAAATATCCCCAAGATATCAGATTTCTCCTATTGGATCTAATCATCGAAAAATTCCATCTCGAAAAATTAAACAAGAAATTGAGAGAAATCAAGTACGCTACTTCAAGAATATTTAATTGATCATTCTAGAACACGTGATTTTGACATGGTTTCTTGAGGGGCACACAAACTATCTGTTAGGTTTGATGAGCATCATAGCCCTGGCCATCCCTGCCACATCCACAATATAATAACAGTTTCACCAAACAAAATTATGAACATCTTACTGGTTCCAACTCGGATTCCAAGGAAAACGATCCCACTAATTCTGGTTTGATAAATCTTGACAAAATACAATGTTTGCCCCTCAGCAACCTGTCAAATGACGTAATTCTGGAATGATTAATTTGAACAGATACGGCAGAATTGCCGCAATGTAGAACTTTGTGTAGAAAAAGGGGTCTCACCTCAAATTTTATAAATTTTATATTGATCCCTACATTTTTTTACTGCATGGTAGTATATACGTTGAGCTTTCTCAGGGGTTTGAAATATATTTATTTCAATGCCACCCGGTACTTTGAAGTCCGTAAAACATTTTTTGATCGCTGAAAGGGAATTTAAATAGTCGACTATTGCCTGAAATAGCTCGTCATCCATTTTTACTTTACTCGTATAATAGCCTTTTTCTCATAAAACGAGGAAATCAAAGTCACCACTCGCGAAACGACCCCCTCAACAAAACCTCTGCGCACCCGCATCCGCGCACCCCCCACCCCATTAAATAGGCGTCGGCAACACCGTAAAGTCCTGCAACGGGCACTTGACCGACTGATGGTTAGATTTCAATCATTATAACTGTTTCGAAATAACGTCTCGAATTTTTGTTATTTTTTGTTGAATATACAAGATGACATTTATCGATTATTTCATTGATTGTTTGGTTTGCTCAATAATTATGTGTTGTTATTCCAAAATCACCTTGTATATGAATTTTATTGGGTATTAAGCAAGTCATTTGATTCCTCTACATAAAATGCAACATCATATGCATTGAGACCATGAAATGAGTCTGGATATACGAGGTGTTTTTGAAATAACTATATACAGGGTGTTTCATAATTAGATGTCAATATTTGGGGAGGCGTATCTTGGGCCCATTCTAAGAAGAAAGTTTCATATGAACGTATGACTTAACGTCCTAACTTTTGAGATACAGGGTGGTAAAGTTATCTAAAATTAACAGTTTTTTATTAATATCTGTAATACCACTTCAGATATTCTAATGAAATTTGGCATACATGTACTATGTATCAAGAGGCATCAGTTAGTGTACCACATTTTTTTTGGTTGCCACCAGTGGCGTTCGTATGGAATTTCACATACCTATTTTGGCAGACATGGATGGTACTCCACCGATTAATCTCAAAATTGAAATCATTCCTGAAATTCCCAATCATTTCTAAGCAAATTTGATCACCACAATTTTTTCAATCTGATGCACGGTTTTCGCTTGAAAAAATAAAAAGCTTTTCACTACATGATTATAGCAATATCGTTAATATGACAATATCACAATGCAGAGAAATAGATTTTATTTTTTAGATCAAATTTCAGTAATACAATTCATAGTTTATGAACTTTCTATTCGTATTTGGTATTTTGGAATTATAACTTTTCATTGTAATAGGCTTTATTAATTTTTGAGAACTTTACCACCCTGTATCTAAAAAGTTAGGACGTTTAGGTCATACTTTCATATGAAAATTTCTTCTTAGAACGGGCTCGAGAATCGCCTACTCGAATATTGACATCCAATTATGAAACACCCTGTATATTCAACATATCAGTGTGTACAAGATATCAGATTTCTCCTATTTTATCTAATCATTGTCGATCTGGATGAAAACCTAGTAGGCGACCTAGTACGCGAGGAGGTCCAATAGCTCTTGCCTACTAACTACCTAACTATAGGTTGTCATCTAGAACGACAATGATCTAATTATCGAGAAATTTTATCTCGAAAATTAAACAAGAAATTAAGAAAAACCAGGTACGCTACTTCAAGAACATTCAATTCATTGCACAGAATTGCCACAATGTAGAACTTTGGGTGGAAAATGGGCTCACCTCTAATTTTATATTGGTTCCTGAAATTTTTACTGGTGATATACGTTGAGCTTTCTCAGGGTTTGAAATATATTCGTATTTATTTCAATGCCACCCGGTATATACTTTGAAGCTCGCAAAACATTTCTTGATCGTCGAAAGGAAATTTAAATAGTCGGCTATTATTGCCTGAAATAGCTCGTCATCCATTTTTACTTTACTCGCATAATAGCCTTTTTCTCATAAAACGAGGAAATCAAAGTCACCACTCGCACAACGACCCCCTCAACAAAACCTCTGCGCACCCGCATCCGCGCACCCCCCACCCCATTAAATAGGCATCGGCAACACCGTAAAGTCCTGCAACGGGCACTTGGCCGACTGGTTAGATTTCAATCATTATAACTGTTTCGAAATAACGTCTCGAATTTTTGTTATTTTTTGTTGAATTTACAAGATGACATTTATCGATTATTTCATTGATTGTTTGGTTTGCTCAATAATTATGTGTTCTTATTCCAAAATCACCTTGTATATGAATTTTATTGGGTATTAAGCAAGTCATTTGATTCCTCTACATAAAATGCAACATCATATGCATTGAGACCATGAAATGAGTATGGATATACGAGGTGTTTTTGAAATAAGTATATACAAGGTGATTTTAAAATAGGTGGTCAAACTTTGGGAGTATATAGAGTGAGTGAAATAATTACGAAAACCTCGGTAATATTTTTTTCTGAAGTGCCCCCCAAGAAAGATACAGCCCCTCAAAGGGGGTCTCGGAGAATGATTTTGTACTATTATCGCCAACACCTTGTATGATGAAAATCTAAAATTTTGTTTATCCACTAACTATTCAGTGCCGGTTCGAATGGAGTTAAAATCGCCTCAAAATTAAATACAGGAGTGTGTCAAAACAGGGAGGTATGGGGTAAAAATAACCTCAACTTTTTTGTTCATCGCAATTTCAGTTTTTTTACATGAAATTATGAAATCTCAGGGCTATCAACATAGAAAAGGAGCTCTTGTTGGATCTCGATAAACTGAACCATTAGCGAATAAAATTTATTTTTACAAGATTTCATTTAAATTACAATTTTGGTATGCACTTGAGTTTAATTATCTAGTTCAAATATTGCAACTGAATTTTCACTAATCGTCTGATCAACTTGGAATCTGGCAGATGAAAGTTGACAACGCGTTATGGACTTTTTGATAGAAAAAAATATGGCGGCTCCAATGTGGCTGACCAGATTTGTGATTATGGTTCGATTCGATTCAAAATTGGTTTGTAAGGGTTTTTGGGGTTGGAAATTTTGAATTCATTGTCGGAATTGATGAATTAACAATAGACGACGAGTTTCGTGATTATAGTCTGATCCTATTGAAAATACTAAAATGAAAAATATTGTTGAAAACAAGATTTTTTTAAATTTTATTCGCTAATAGTTAATTTTATCGAGATGCAACAAGAGCACCTTTTTCATGTAAATAGCTCTGAGATTTCATAATTTCATGTCAAAAAACTGAAATTGCGATGAACAAAAGAGTTAGGGTTATTTTTACCCCCTACCTCCCTATTTTGAGACACCCCTGTATTTTATTTTGAGGTGATTTTAACCCCATTCGAACCTGCACTGAATAGTAAGCGGATAGACAAAATTTCAGATTTTCATTATACAAGGTGTTGGAGATAATAATACAAAATCATTCTCAGAGGCCCCCCTTTGAGGGGCTGTATCTTTCTTGGGGGTCACTTCAGAAAAAAATGTTACAGAGGTTTTCATAATCATTTCACCCACTCTATATGCTCCCAAAATTTGACCACCTATTTTAGAATCACCTTGTATATTCAACATATCAGTGTGTACAAGATATCAGATTTCTCCTATTTTATCTAATCATTGTCGATCTAAATGAAAACCTAGTAGGCGACCTAGTACGCGAGGAGGTCCAATAGCTCTTGCCTACTAACTACCTAACTATAGGTTGTCATCTAGAACGACAATGATCTAATTATCGAGAAATTTTATCTCGAAAATTAAACAAGAAATTAAGAAAAAACAGTTACGCTACTTCAAGAACATTCAATTCATTGCACAGAATTGCCACAATGTAGAACTTTGGGTGGAAAAAGGGCTCACCTCTAATTTTATATCGGTTCCTGAAATTTTTACTAGTGATATACGTTGAGCTTTCTCAGGGTTTGAAATATATTCGTATTTATTTCAATGCCACCCGGTATATACTTTGAAGCTCGCAAAGCATTTCTTGATAGCTGAAAAAATGGCTAAAAGAATAGCTCGTCATCCATTTCTACTTTACTTGCATAATAGCCTTTGTCTCATGAAACGAGGAAATCAAAGTCACCACTCGCACAACGACCCCCTCAACAAAACCTCTGCGCACCCGCATCCGCGCACCCCCCACCCCATTAAATAGGCGTCGGCAACACCGTAAAGTCCTGCAACGCGCACTTGACCGTCTCGTAGATCGGCCTGTTATCGTCTGCGCAATACCCATCTGCCGCGGGGGCACACAACGTCTGCAACTTGCTGAAGTACGAGTCGAAGTTCTCCTGGCCGATCTTTTCGGGGTGGCCTCCCGCCATCCCCCCAGTTGGCCCCCCGTTGCCCCCCGGGATGCGCACGTGCTCGAGTAGAGTGATGACGTTGTTGCGCAGACTCTCGTAGTACTCGTTGAGGTTGGTGGTGCGTTGCGTCAACGCCTGCGTTTCCTGAAAATAGAAGAGAAAGGTGACAAAGAGGTCATAGTCCAAGAGCCGGCTGCAAATTTCGACGCTCACTTTCTTTCACTTTCTCGTGCGGTAATTTGCACTTATTGTTTATTGATAGAAAAGCTTCCAGTCAGAAATAAAATTATGGTATGCGAGGAAGTTGATCACAAACAACAATAATAAAATAATATAAGGTGACAACAACGAAAAAATCTAAAGAATCTAAAAATGCTAAATCGATCAAATCATAAAAAATAGCAACTGGGACTAATCAGTAGATGGCAACGTATCAATTTTATCCATTTCGTAATAGAATCATGAGTTTTTTTAATGCAATTTCAAATTTTGAAATATGTCTGTAATTCTTTATATTATATGTGGTAATTTATTGAATTCAGCTAGAGCAGCGTGAGTAATTTTGTTTACCCAATTATAGAAGTAGCAGAATCAAGATGAAATAAGTTTAATTTTCATTTCGCGATTTGAAAAGTAGATAGGAATTTTGCCATCTGATACCAATTGAATGGAAGATATTGAAAAAGAATACTCTCAGATATATTTAAGAACACAAAAAAAATGGCTATACAGTGTGAACCACTTCTAATGGAACCACCCCTGTATCTTACGTAATCGTTGGGTAAGGATCCTGAAATTTGCGTGAGCGAGAGATATACCAAAAATGCACTCTATGACCAAGTGGGGTCATCTTCAGTGATATACACTGCTCGCCAACAGCCATGAAACTACCCCAATTTCCGGAAAATGATATTAGGAGTCAAAATAGTTCGAAAATCATTCAGATTTGGAATCAGGACGACCGATTTACTAACTATTCAAATTTTTCCTGGAAAATTTTCAGTTCGGAAAAATGAAAGTTTGTCGCATTTTTTATGGAAGCACCCCCGTATCTCACGTAATTATTGAGGTAAGGTTCTGAAATTTGCCGGAGGAAGAGAAAGTCCAAAGATAAAGTCAATTACGTGAGATACGGGGGTGCTTCCATAAAAAATGCGACAAAATTTCATTTTTCCAAACTGAAAATTTTCCAGGAAAAATTTGAATAGTTAGTAAATTATTTATTCATTTATTTATTTATTTATTGAACAAATAACTTCCAGACAGAATAGGCTCTGGTATAAGGAAGTACATAATATATACCTATAGGTAAACATAGCATCATTCAAAATATATCAACAACTGTAAATTGGCAAACAAAGAATAATATTTGTAAAAAAAAAATGGCATGATTAATTTTATCAAGTCCGCTGAGAAATAATCAGTTTTTTTACTTCATTTTTGAATATACCTATATTTCTGCAATTTTTTATATTATCAGGTAGTTTATTGAATTCAGTTAAGGCTGAATGAGTGAATCTTTTTTGTCCGATTAGGGAGCTAGCGGCGTCAAGATGGAACAAGTTATATTGTCTAGTTTCATGATTATGAATTTCAGAATTCCGTATCAAAATGATATTCGACTTCAATTTTTTATTTATGATATTATATGATATTTTGAGAGTTTCAATTCTATATATTTCATCTAAAGAATACGTATTTGTTATTTCATACAATTGATTGGTTGGTGTATCAAATGGGAGACGATACAATACTTTTAACGATTTTCTATATAATGTTGATATTTTATTGAAATTATTTTTTGAACAAGATCCCCAAACATTTATTAAATAGTTGATAAGACTCAGTATATGAGAGTAGAGAATCATGTTTGCAATTTTAATATCAAGTTTGGGACATCTTCTCAATGCACCAATAATTGGAGATATTTTTTTTGTCAGAACATCAATATGTTTGTCCCACTTCAACCTGTCATCAAACCAAATACCAAGATATTTTATCTGGTCAGTTTGTTTCAAGAGTTCATTTTTTATTTTAAGGTTGAGGTGAATTTTTTGTTTATTTTTTTGGTGAAAAATCATATATTCTGTTTTGTTAGTATTTATCGATAAAAGGTTAGATTGGAGCCATTTTTCAAATATTTTCAAGTCTTCATTTATCATATTTTCTAAATCTGAAGGATTCTTGCCTTCATATAAAAGTACTGTATCATAAATTGGGCGTCTGATTCCAAATCTGAAGTGATCTTCGACCTATTTTGACTCCTAATATCATTTTGTGGAAATTGGGGTAGTTTCATGGCTGTTGGCGAGCAGTGTATACCACTGAAGATGACCCCACTTGGTCATAGAGTGCATTTTTGGTATATCTCTCGCTCCAGCAAATTACAGAATCCTTACCCAACGATTACGTAAGATACAGGGGTGGTTCCATTAGAAGTGGGTCACACTGTATATAAGAAGAAATACATTGAGAATTCGCATTCTCCATGTGATGAAAATATCAATTCTTTCTCGGTTTATTCAACAGGAAACAACTACTTTTCTGGCTATAGGCCATGACGAATATTGAATTACATCTATTGAACACACACGATAAGAACTTGAAATCAAAATCTTCTGAAGTAGAGAATTTGCATTCTCCCTCATATAAAGATATGCATATTATATCATTCTGAATATTCAACAAAAAACAACTACTTTCCTGGCTATTTATTGCCACGTCGAACATTGAATTATATCTGTTGAATATTCAAAAAAGGGGACATTTTCCCCTTACATTTGCTCTTTGTTTCAATTCGTTATCATATGACAGAAGTTTGTCTGGAATAATAGCACCAAAAAAATCGCTGTGCCGTAGATTTGACTCAGATTAACGGGTGGCACAGATGGGCTTTTAAGATCTACCATTTAATTGGTATCGGATCACAAAAATCTCATCTCGTTATCAAATCGTGAAATAGAGTGCAAGCAAATTACCGCACAGGAAAGTGCCATTTTTTCAATCATTCTGCTCAGGATAGTGATCGGCACAGGGCACAGGTTCCGTTGGATAAAAACAATGATTCTACATGCCTTTAGAACATTCAACATGTCGTTAGATGACGGTCGAAATTTGCAGCTGGCGCTTCTAATATCATGAACGTCTGTAAGAAAGCTACTATGATTTTTATCATTGTTCGAAATATCAAATCAAATCTATATTGGTTGAAATCACATCACCCAGTATCTTCCACAGATTACCAGAGTCGAGGAAAAATCTGAATATTAGTTCACAACCCTCTTGAAACAGTAAATAAAAAAAATATCATTTTGGATTGTGGAAGTACAACCAAACTTAATATTGTGGAGGATCTGGGCTAGTTTTTATAGTTTTTGCCCGAAGACAACCATATACTAGTTTTTCAGAAGAATAATAAATTGTCAACAAATCTTGCTAGATCAATATAATCGCAATGGACGATTACATTTTTTTTTAATTTTCATTTTACTAACTTAAAACTACAGGTGGTATTTTTTCTGGAATAAAAAAACAAGCGTGGAACAGCCACGCATTTCATCTTTATTCAGACTGTTTTCATAGAATTCAGATTCTATTGTTGATTGAATTAAACTTGTTTCTTCGAATTCGAAGTCTATTCTTTGAATTCATTCATTTTTCTTTGAATTCAGATTTAATTTTTTGAATTCAGACTCTATTCTATGAATTGATAATTTTTCTAATTCAGACAATTTTCTATGAATTCAGACTTTTTTCTTTGAATTCAGACTTTTAGTTAAGAATTCAGACTTGTTTTCTCTTAATTCCGCCTTTTTGCTCAGGATTCAGATTTTTTCTATGATGCAGACTCTATATTCTTCGAATTCAGATTTTTATCTCTGAATCCAAACGCATTTCTTCGAATGCATACTTTTTTCTTCGAATTTAGATTTTTTTCTTCGAATTCCTACTGTATTCTCTGAATTCATACTTTTTTCGAATTCTGACTATTTTATTCGAATACAGACTATTTTCATCGAATTCAGACTTTTTTCTTCGAATACAGAATGTTTTCTTTGAATATTAGTCTTTTTGCTTAGACTTCAGACTGCTTGTGTATATGTACGACAGAAAATCACGAGCGTGTATTCATTGCAAAAGAAAAAAGTTTCTGACATTTTTCCACATACAGGAGGACCCTTATATTATCGCTTCCGTGATTATACAGGATGCAACTAAAAAACATTCCAATTAACACACAGAAGCCATGTTTCATATGGACTTCCTTCCATATTTTTGCTGGTACACTAATCGTTTCAGCTCACCTTTTCGCCGTGCCCCAGATGGCTCTCCATGGCGTTGATGTCCGACTTCAGCTTGATCATTTGCGATTCCACTCTCGCGTTCTCCCGCTGTAGCTCGGATATCTCCGCCTCCAAGGTGATCAGATCTTCGCCGTTGCCCCCGCCACCGCCGCCGTTCGGCCCGCCCGCCTCTACACCTGCAAGAAGATGTCTAAAAATAAGTTTTAGTCCAATTTCAGAATGACAACAGGTGTACATTTAGTATTTATTACATAAGGATCAATCATTTTTTAACGAAGATCGTTGGGATCACGAAGGATATTACAAGGAATACTTAGAAATCAACAAGCGGCTGGTTAGGTCGTTTTTTTATTGAGCTCGAATCAACCGAATGATTACAAGGAACTCTGAAATTGAAAGGAATCTTATCTCAACTCGTCCCAAAGATTTCCAATACCGATCAAAAGAATTTCCGAGGATGTTCAGGATATTCCAAGAGTGTTGAGAAATTTCAATGGATTATAATTCAACAAGTCCTAAGAACTAGGAAAAAAAATGGATCTAGACAATAAGTTATGTTGAATTTTTTGAAACAAACTCAAATTATCTGAAGAAAATCAAGAGCTTATTTTGAGAAAATCCAAATAAAAGCAAGATTGTCAAAAAGTAACAAAGAATTCGGAGAAATTTCAAAATATTACAATCAATTCTGAGAAACTCTAGGGCCTAGGGCATATCTTCAAATTCCTAGAGAAAGGTTAACGAATTTTGGAGAATTTTGAGGAAACTCAATGAAATTACGAAGCATTCCAATAATGTACAATGAAATTTCGAAGAAACCTTTGAAATCTCAAAATAATCAAATGAAAGTCAACACATTTTGAGGAATTCCATGGATTTCAGAAGGGTTTCTAGGAATTTCAGGAAATCCCCAAAAGTCGATGGATATTCAAGGAATTCTAAAAAACATGATGGGATTTTGAAGAATCCCAGGAAATTTGAAGGTATTCAAAAAAAATTCTGAAGACACAAAAATGAACACAGGATGAAAAAAACTAAGTGCATGAATCACAGGAAATTTTAAGGAAATCCAATAGATTTTAAGGAATTCTAGAATTTCGAGACATTTCAGCGCAATTCTAAGAAATTCGAAGAGATTATGAGACATTTCTATAGGCACTCCAATGATACAATAATAAAAATCACCTGATGTGATTTTTCCTTATTCAATCGAGAAGTTTCATGAAATTTCAAGACATTTCATATGGAATTACAAGACATTCCGATAAGGGATTTCAAAGAATCATGCACTAAGAATTCTTATATAATTTTAGAACACTCCAAAGAAGTTCGAGATATCCAGAAGGAATTTTTTGAAATTTCACGAACGACACCAGGTCAGTTCAAGGGATTCCATAAAATTCTGAACTATCTAAGATTTGGCCAGGGTCAGTCTATACTTATGTCGACCATGAAATCACCAAGTAATCACAAGGAATTCAATGAACTTTGAAGAATTTCGAACAATAATTGCGAATAGCACTTCTCCGAACATTATAGGGATTCTCTTTCGTGCGCCCCAAGAAATAAAAAAAATGACAATGACTTCTGGACGTCTCTTTGATGAAATTCCATGAATTGAAGAAAAATAGGATGCATCTAATGAATTACATTGGCTTTTGAAGAAATTACAAAAAAATCTTGGAATTTCAAGAAACAAGAAGGATTTTTATTGAATTACAAAAACAATGGGGCTGTACACATTAGTCTAGGGTTTCCAGAAATACAAAACGGTAAGAAGAAGACACACTATACATTGCCAACCTAACTTCCTAACGTCACCTTCGTCTTCAAATCCTTGTTTCATATCTAGCCAAGATGCGAATATTCAAAGATATTCCTTTTATTATCTGATTCTTCAGTAGTGTGTTGTTTTTCTTTTATCTGCAGGAGGCTAACTCTTTTCATCCTTGATTGATTGAAATGACAATCAGAAATATCATTGCACTCGTCTTACAGACTTGCAGAATAGATAGACGTATGTCGAATTTTTTCGGATGATTACGTCATGCTTTTTGCCGCGTTTTTCATGTCATGAAATATCGTGAATTTCAATAATCATTTTGAAAATGTACATACAGAGCTCTGGGGAAAAAACGGTTTGCGTCAGTGAACTATATAGTTAGTACTTCGAAATAATGAAATAAAATTGTTCAGTGAAACGGGCCCCTTTATTCCGACCAATTTTAGACGTTCAAGAAATTTTCAGCTATTGAAGAAATTCAAGAAAATTCCCAGATAGTTCAAGAAGATTCAAGAGATTCAAAACGCAACTCCGAGACATTCCATGGTATTTCAAAAAAAATAAAATTGATTTTCAAAAAATAACATTTCACTTTTCGCATAGCTAACAAAACTGATCCTCACCTGTATATCCCTTGGCATAGAACGGCATCTCGTCGGGATACTTGGCCTTCTTGATATGCGCCTGCGTCTGCCCCGCGATGGGACACCCGCTCAACGACCGGTGCGTCAAAAAGGACCCGTTTATATGGCCCGTGCCGTCACAGCCGGGCGTCGGGCAATTCACGCCCTCGAACTTCATGGCGGTGGCGGCAGCGGCGGCGGCCACCGCCGCTTTGTGCTGCTCCACGCTGCCGCCGCTTTCCAGCACGCGCATCTTGTTGCGGTTGGCGATGGGACAGCCGGAGGCGCTGAAAGTACGGACAAAAATAGATTGAATATTTCGAAGGGCTATATAGATAACAGGAAATCTTCTCAATGCACTTGACACTTTAACACTTCTGTTTTGACGTTTCTGAATATGTATTTCACAGGAAGGACACTATGACAAGCAGTGAGAGTCAGACATAATATTATGGCTGTATTCCGTATTTAACTGGTCAGTATACTGTCAATAATTTGAATATTAGAATAAAAAATGAAAGATTGAAACAAACTGCCTATACCAAATACCTTGGTATTTGGATTGATGAAAAGTTAACATGGAACAAGCATATTGGCATGCTCAAAGAACAAATTTCCCCCATAGTTGGTGCCTTAAGAAGATGTCCAAAACTTCTCCCAAATATAGCAAATACCGTTCTATACTCTCACATCCTTAGTAAAATGAACTATCTCATAAATATTTGGGGTTCATGTTCCAAGAATAATTTCAACAAAATATCTGTACTATATAAAAAAGCATTAAAAGTACTGTATCGTCTTCCATATGACACCCCATCAAATCAACTTTATGAAGAAACAAATACATTTTCTTTGGAATTTTGGAAGAGCACTATAAATACTCTCAAAATTTCTTTTGATATTATCAACAAACACATCAAATCTTACTTCATATTGGTAAGGAATTCTCAAATTCATGTTTGTTCATCTTGATGCTGCTCATTCTACACTTGGTCAAAAAAAGTTCACTCACGGAGCTATCTCAAAATTCAATAAATTACCTGATGATATCAAAAGTTGCACAAATATCACCCAATTTAAAATCAAAGTCAAGAAACATATCCTCTTGCAAAGAGAAAATCAAACCTGAGTGAATGATTTCTCATTGACTAATTTATTTCATCATGTCATAATGTACTTTTCATGAGCTTTTTGTTTTATTTATTTTTTTCATATTCTGTTGTTTATTTCAATAACTATAATTTAATTTGATAACGCATGAATAATCTCATACCAGATATGAATGATTGAAACAAACTGCCTATACCAAATACCTTGGTATTTGGATTGATGAAAAGTTAACATGGAACAAGCATAATGGCATGCTCAAAGAAAAAATGTTCCCCATAGTTGGTGCCTTAAGAAGATGTCCAAAACTTCTCCCAAATATAGCAAATATACCGTTCTATACTCTCACATCCTTAGTAAAATGAACTATCTCATAAATATTTGGGGTTCATGTTCCAAGAATAATTTCAACAAAATATCTGTACTATATAAAAAAGCATTAAAAGTACTGTATCGTCTTCCATATGACACCCCATCAAATCAACTTTATGAAGAAACAAATACATTTTCTTTGGAATTTTGGAAGAGCACTATCTGATAAATACTCTCAAAATTTCTTTTGATATCATCAACAAACACCTCAAATCTAACTTCATAATTGGTAAGGAATTCTCAAATTCATGAACATCATACTAGAAACTATGACTTGTTTCATCTTGATGCTGCTCATTCTACACTTGGTAAAAAAAAGTTCACTCACGGAGCTATCTCAAAATTCAATAAATTACCTGATGATATCAAAAGTTGCACAAATATCACCCAATTCAAAATCAAAGTCAAGAAACATATCCTCTTGCAAAGAGAAAATCAAACCTGAGTAAATGATTTCTCATTGACTAATTTATTTCATCATGTCATAATGTACTTTTCATGAGCTTTTTGTTTTATTTATTTTTTTCATATTCTGTTGTTTATTTCAATAACTATAATTTAATTTGATAACGCATGAATAATCTCATACCAGATATGAATCTGTCTGATTATTTATGTTATTCCATTGTAAATGTTAATGATTATATTTATATTTATATGAGATGCAATGTAATGTTTATAGCAAAGATTGAAATAAAGATTGAATTAAAGATTAAATTAACTGACTGCTGAAAATATGTGATACGAAATATGAAATCAAAAATACAGTGCTGTAATTCGGAACTCGTTTTTATGGTTTTCATCAGTATTCAGTAGCAATTGATCAGCTGGTGAAATTTGGATATCATTCTCAGCGTCAATTATTTCAATAACAGGCATTTTCTGATATTGAATATTATTGATAAGACAAGACTTGATGTTTTAAAAACAACGAAAATAAATGTGAAATTCCCCCTTCAAAATATTGACAGTTCATTGAAGCCACACTACCTTTAGATACTCAGCAATTTCAGCAGAATGTTTAGTCGAAAAATTCAGTACTGTCATTTGAATTCGGAATATCGCCTATTAGGGCTTACACTATTCATCGTCCACCTAAATGCGCCATTAAAACGTGAGATCACGGTTGGTAGAAACTGATAAATATACTTCTCATTTTCGTGTCATTTGGCGTTTTCCTACGATATCTTCTTTTCCGTCAATGTAAGAATTGGTCGTAAAGTTCCACATTGAGAGTAAGAAAACGTAAGTAGGCTCAAGTCTTTCAATCACTTGAGGTTTTCTATTTGTTCAAATATACTAATCATTTTTTTTTATATTTTCGATAAAACAGGTCATAGTCTTTAGGGCTATCCGGCAGACTTTGACACGGACCTCACGTTTTAGTAGTTATAACTGGGTAGACTGAAGATGTTAGCCCTCATTAGGCAATTCAATGACCTGTCAAACTATGCGCTGGGCGGCACACACTGAAATTATTTATGTGTGATAAGTCGTTTTTATACGCGAATTCCTGGGGTTCGATTATTAACTATCGGAGTAGAGTAAACTCAGTTTCACTATTCCTCGTGATATTCGAACGGAATTATGAGTTAGTTTATTGTCATCTGAGATTGACATGAATATATAACCTCATAGTTTGGAAGGACCATAATTTTTTTCTCAGTGTAGTTTTTTACTTTCTTTGTTGAGGAAACGATTTTCTGAATAAACTATTAATCAATAAGGGTGTCCCACAAGGCTCTGTATTAGGACCTATACTATATTTACTTTATGTTCAAAATATCAGTGAAATTGGTCTAGCGTGTGAATATACCATGTATGCAGATGATACAGTACTTTTATATGAAGGCAAGAATCCTTCAGATTTAGAAAATATGATAAATGAAGACTTGAAAATATTTGAAAAATGGCTCCAATCTAACCTTTTATCGATAAATACTAACAAAACAGAATATATGATTTTTCAACAAAAAAATAAACAAAAAATTTACCTCAACCTTAAAATAAAAAATGAACTCTTGAAACAAACTGGCCAGATAAAATATCTTGATATTTGGTTTGATGACAGGTTGAAGTGGGACAAACATATTGATGTTCTGACAAAAAAAATATCTCCAATTATTGGTGCATTGAGAAGATGTCCCAAACTTGATATTAAGATTGCAAACATGATTCTCTACTCTCATATACTGAGTCGTATCAACTATTTGATAAATGTTTGGGGATCTTGTTCAAAAAATAATTTCAATAAAATATCAACATTTATATAGAAAATCGTTAAAAGTATTGTTTCGTCTCCCATTTGATACACCAACCAATCAATTGTATGAAATAACAAATACGTATTCTTTAGATGAGATATATAGAATTGAAACTCTCAAAATATCATATAATATCATAAATAAAAAATTGAAGTCGAATATTATTTTGATACGGAATTCTGAAATTCATAATCATGACTAGACAATATAACTTGTTCCATCTTGACGCCGCTAGCTCCCTAATCGGACAAAAAAGATTCACTCATTCAGCCTTAACTGAATTCAATAAACTACCTGATAATATAAAAAATTGCAGAAATATAGGTATATTCAAAAATGAAGTAAAAAAACTGATTATTTCTGAGCGGACTGGATAAAATTAATCATGCCATTTTTTTTTTATTGTTTGCCAATTTACAGTTGTTGATTTATTTTGAATGATGATATGTTTACCTATAGGCTTCCTTATACCAGAGCCTATTCTGTCTGGAAGTTATTTGTTCAATAAATAAATAAATAAATGAAAAAAAAGAAGGTATACACTTGTGAAAATTTTATATATCTTTGTGGATGTTATTTATCTTTATCACATATTCAGTTCATAATTTCGGGACTTCCTATACCAGGGCAGCGTATGCAAAATCTTTTCCGCGGTATAATTTTTCTCATATTTCGAAATCATCAAATTTCAATGAAAATTCAAAATCGGTTGGTGACGCCGCTGCATGCGAGCACAAATTAATAATTGTCTAGAACGTGTTGAAAACCCATAAAAATCATCATCCGAAAGTTGCAAACATTAAAGAACCATTGCAAAAAATATGTCACTACCGGCCAGTCTACAAGAGCCTGATGCAAATTTCGACCGTGATGTGGTATGATAAAACCATAAAACATTGTATTTCATTGAACAGCACTTGTACTTGCACAAATGACCGATTCTGGAGGTTAACCAACCTCACTTTTCTTATTTGTTCACAAAGGATTGAAATAATTTTTCACAATTATTTTGGCATACAAATCGTGTTTCTTGTGCTATTTATTAATTCCTTCCACTACAATAATGTAATTTTTAGTAAGTTCATGACCAAGTAAAATGTTTTACATCAATTAATGAATCATAAACTGTTCATATTCCAATTCGGTATTCTTTTTCAAAATATATCCAATTAGAGCAATCCGAAATCACTCTCTATATTCATCTGATCAGATAACGCAACAAAAAAAAAACGATATTTCCAAATTGTATAGTGTTTTTACCTTCTATGCGATAGGAATTTTCCTGTCGCATGTCCAGATCCGTCACAGCCCGGTATCGGGCATCTGATAGCATGAAAAAATTCAATTCTATGCATTACTCAATTCCTGCCACTATCACTATTTTTTTTTTGTCAAATATACAGGATATTATGTTTCTCAAGTACGTGTGAAAAACTCAGACTTGACATCAACACGTACTTAAAAAACACCCTGTATATGCTTCACTAAATGTTTGTCGCATATCCAACGAAAATATTGTTCAGCTAACAAAAACTACAACGCGTCTGAACTGCCATCCTAAAAAAACTCAACTGTAAATTATATAGCAGATATTTTGAAAATAAAAGTTTCTTCTGCCTAATTTACAGCTGCAACTGTAAATTAGATCAAGAGAACCTTTTTTCTACACATCTCCTAATTTACAGTTGCCACTGTAAATTAGAGTCTCACAGTCTCAGCGCATCGCGTGCTATCGAAGAATGAAAGCTGCCTATGTCTGTTGGTCAGGTGAGAAATTGTGAGAACTGAGAATGTGAGACTCTAATTTACAGTTGCAACTGTGAATTAGAGCCCAATGTCTCAGCGCATCGCGTGCTATCGAAGAATGAAAAGCTGCCTATGTCTGTTGGTCAGGTGAGAAATTGTGAGAACGGAGAATGTGAGACTCTAATTTACAGCTGCAACTGTAAATTAGATCAAGAGAACCTTTTTTCTACACATCTCCTAATTTACAGTTGCCACTGTAAATTAGAGTCTCACAGTCCCAGCGCATCGCGTGCTATCGGAGAATGAAAGCTGCCTATGTCTGTTGGTCAGGTGAGAAATTGTGAGAACTGAGAATGTGAGACTCTAATTTACAGTTGCAACTGTGAATTAGGCAAAAGTTCGTGTGAAAAAAAAGTTTTTTTAGGATGGCAGTTCCGACGCGTCGTAAAAACAGTATTTTTGACAGACGATATAAATCTCTGGTGATGATTGAGAGACATAATAAACTCTTAACTCAGTCATGTTACACATAATTATATTATTGCCAAAAAAATCTCACCTCAGTGGTTCAGAGTCTTGGCCGTCTCTCGGTTTGCTCTTAGGCTTGTTGGCCCTCGGACAGCCCGACAAACTCCTGTGGGAGGAATAGTTCCCCGTCACGTGACCAGAACCGTCGCACCCGGGCGTCGGACATTTCAGCTCCTGCGAATGCGCCTGTATCTGAGATCGGTCCGATCGCGGACAACCAGACAAACTGCAAAAAAAAGAAGAATAATATAATCTCTAAGTATACTTGTTGATCTTTCACCGCCCGAGAAGCAGAAATTTCATATTTTTAGTTTATTGATAGATATTTCTCTGAACATTCCCAAAATATTGAGAGCCCAAGTGTCGTCTGTCCACAGAATGCTGCTAACGCTAACATAACTTTCAACGTCTTGCTGAGAAAACAAACTGTAATATAGGGAGTTCCTCGAGGTTCACGTTTGGACCCCGTCCCGAACGCGATTTACGCTCAACACGTGGGCACAATCCGGCTCGTTAGAAAATGGGAAATGGACTAAATGGAGGGGATGCGTGGGTTCTTCAACGCTACATACTTATTTCATGAGTTTACGCGAGGTGTCACATTACCTTTGCAAATGAAAATATGAGAGAACTTTCTTCTCGATCTTGTTTTTTTAGATACCTATATATTTACTTGCTTTGCGTTCAATAAGAAAATATTAATAGTTCGTAGTTCTCTGTTCTTCACATATTTGTTCAAATTTTCGTGCCAAAGAAAAGTTGAATGAAACGCATCATCACCAATGAATGAACATATACTGTTGATATACAGGGTATTTCATAATTAAATGTCAATAGTCAATGAGGCGATTCTTGGGCCCATTCTAAGAAGAAATTTTCATATGAACATAAACGTTCTAACTTTTGAGATACAGGGTGGTAAAGTTCTCAGAAATTGACAGAGACTCTAATACGAAGTTCATAAACTATGAATTGTATTTCTGAAATTTGATCTGAAAAATAAAATCTATATTTCTCTTTTTTTTTGAATGCGACTGTACATATACGCAAAATTTAATTAGAATATCTGAAGTGGTATTACAGATATTAATAAAAAACTATAAATTTTTGAGAATATTATTACCACCCTGTATCCCATAAGTTAGGACGTTTAGGTCATACGTACATACGAAACTGTCTTCTCAGAATGGGCTCAAGAATCGCCTCCCCAAATATTGACATTCAATTATGAAACACCCTGTATAATAGTTATTGTTTTTTGATATGAAATAAACGCAGCTAATGTCATTCTAGAATTTACCTACTTGTCAAAATCATGTCACACTATTATGATTAATTGCAGAATATAAATAAATAAATAAATAAGTTCCTCATATTTGATTACTTTCATATGATAGCCTACCTTGCAATTGCTTCTTCCATTAGATTCACTCACAACAAAACCGTGTGCCAAGTAGGTATAAAGCGATTAAAGCGTGTCTATTTCTATTTCCGTATAAACTGAACAGCAGTGAACCTTGCACTTCTCAATGAAGAATGTGCACAAAGCTGCTTCGAATATTACTGTTTATGCTTACTGAGATTGCAGATTATTTACACGATAATGACTTTCTAAACGAGATTTTGAATGCTCTGCATATTGAATTGTGTTATCTTTAAAACGTCAATGTCACCGCGACACTCTCACAGGTATCTTTTCTAAATCCGCATTACAATGGAACTACCTACAGGGCGAGTAGCGATACTTTCCGCATCTATGCCTATTTGTTATTCAATTATGCGTGAAGTGGAACGTTATTCTAATATAATAGTCTACTGCAATTCGCAGTCAGCTAATGATTCATCATTATCAAAGTACATACGCACAGATAATATGAACAATTATTATAGATAGTAGTTCACTGTCGCTCATGTCATAGGTATTTACTCAGTAGTAAACAAATTCGTTAAAATTTGGACAGTTTGCCAGGAAACCTCGGGATTTGTCCATTTTTTCAATCATATCAATGATAGGTACATCGAAGATTGGAACCTTTGGTACATACACACAACACTAAGTAAACCAAGTTTTGAGCATATAGATACGTGTATCGCTAACTACATTATTAATCTTCTGGAGAAGGTAACTTTAAGAATGCGATTTTTTTCTGAAGATGTTACCACTTAGTATGAGTAGAAGGGATACCTACTTAAACTAATTGAATGTGTACAACCCTTGATTATATACACTACTCAATGGTACAACTGATTATTTTGTTTTTTCATCAAGGAGAGAAGAAACGCTTTTACTGCCACTTGAATCTATTTTTCTACAAGCGTGCGTGATTCATCCTATATACCCGCACGCAATTTAGTTTGGGAAGTGTCATTACTTTTTCCCACACTAGTGCGGAAAATTTTTTCCCGCACTAGTGCGGGAAAAACAAAGATATGATAGTATGGCAAAATATAAGTGGTAGGTGATAGAAAATGAGAGTTTGAGTTTGTTTGTTGCAGTATTAAGTATGTATGTTCAGAATCATCCATCAAATTACAGTATTTATTGTGAAAATTAAGAAATATTGGGGAATAAAAATCGATTATTATAAAAATCCCCCTATAGATTTGGATTGATCTGATGGGAAACGATTATTGTTGTCATGCCAATCAAACCTCGAATGAGTTTGTAATTATTGTCGAAGTGACAGACACAGCGTTACTGTCATTTTCGATTCAGTGGAACTGCCACTATGTGATCAAAAACTTCCAGCTATAGGGATGCGATACAGATGCTTTATTGCCAACGAAGTGTTAAGAAAGGTATGAGAAGCTATACACGCGCTTTATTGAATGGTGCAACAATAAAGAAATGAAAATACCGAACAAAGAAGATGTATTTTTGGCTCATTTCCTAGAAGTGTCTGAAACCTAGAGACCAAACACCTTATGGGCCTGCTGGCTTCCGCAATGAACCTATACATAATGCGTCAAAAACTGTAAGTTCACAATAGCTATTACTAATAATCAGTAGATAGAGAATATATTTCTCGTTAGTTGTTCCTAAATGAATGAATAATTAATTGGACAAATCAAGCAATTTCCTACGCTTGTAGAAAAAATATTGTTCCTAACTCATGCGGAAAGTGTCTTTCCCGCACTCGACTGCTTGCCCGAACTCCACTTCGCGTCGTTCGTGTCAACGGCAGTCGCGTGCGGGAAATAATCACTTTCCGCACTTGTTGGGAAAATTACTATTCCAAGATTTTCACAAGCTCTGTCATTTCGTTGTCGTTGAAAATAATTAGGCGAACTTATAGGGTTATGAAGAACTCAATGAGACTTTCAAATAGAGTAATGGCACGACCACCCACCTCAATAATTCAAATTTTGAGGGTTGTTCACCCCCACCTACAAGGTTAAAAATATGGGGGTAAAAAAAAGATGAAACTCAGTTCCTCCCTGGATCAAAAATTCACGTGTTCGAGCGTTTTTCCAAATTTTGATTTCAAATCCCAAAAATTGAGCTGAAAAATTCCCATTACATGCTGATGGGAAAGAACTCCATCAACAAATTTCAAAAAAAAAAGGCGAGTTTATTCATTAGGATGACAACTTTCAATGCAGAAAACATAGAAAATCTCAATTCAACTCCTTGAGTGAAAGTGTCACCCTCACATGTTTTTGAAACGAGAATAGGGGCCCAGTGGTACCTGATGATTAAAAAGAGCTGTCAATTCCTTATACATTTTTGCGTAGCTTCTGAAGAACGATTCACTCGTTTATAGACAACATGGAGCTTGTAGCAGATTTCACCTTATTTCCTTTGAGTCTTTGAATCATAACGTGTGTATGTGCTTATTATTTTTATATTTTGCGAATTCCTCACCATTCCGTCTTTGCTGCTAAGGAGGTACTACACCTAACGCTATCTATTGGTAGGCGAGTCTATCAAAATATATCGTTTTATGGTATCGCCTGTATCGTGCAGTGACCTGTGGGTTCGATTCGGAGCCTATGCGTAAGGCCACCTGAGGCCGCTCTTTCATTAAATGTTATTTGACCTATTTCCAAAACCAGTTTTTTGTTAAGTTTTACAATTATCGCTGTGAGCGGATTCCGGGAGATTTCTAGAATTTTGCAGTGCATTATCGAATATATCTAAAGTGACACCGATTCCAGTAAAATAGCTAGAGGTTCTTAGCCCAAGAATTCCTTGGAACTTGCACCCGCATTTTATTTTTGGTAAGCAATTTGATTATGTACAATTCCTGGTCCTATTCTTGATTATTATAATGTTGATATTCGTCCATTTTGGGATTAGGTTTGCGGAAGTGAAACCATCAGAGGTCAGAGTTTACGTCCTCATTTTATTTTAGGCTCTTGGTGTACACTGTCGAACAAAGTAACTGTTTGGTGAAGAATATAGCACGCTGTATCCGAACAGGATTTAGTTGTTTTTACCAAGTACCACTTCCTATCACACCACCCCTTTCCGGCGCACGTACCCAACCCTGAGCGAGATAAAGAGATCTTTTACAAGCTTGAAAAATTCCAAGAATACGTGTGATGAAAGATTCAGATTTCATTTCACTAAAAACGTATTGAAAATTTTTCTAAGCTCAATATTTTCTGAACGAGTAGATTGATCTTCAACTTTAACTGAGCACAGCAATGTGTGGGGAATTGAAAGCCATCTTTATTGAGATAATACACCACTGCAAACTCAAACATCACATGCACAAAATCGGACTTGCACAAGATGTAGAGTGCCGTCTATGCATGGAGGAGGATGAAACGGCTATAACTTTCCTAATTCTTTTCCGATTTTGGTGAACATTAGTTTCCCAAAAAGAGCTGGTAGCTTGATCATTATACAGGGAAAAACAAAAGTTACTATTTCACGCTTAACTTTTCAACGCCCTGTGGCATAAGTGACTGATCAAACTTAGCTTCATCATGTTCTGAATTGAAGTGTGATCCCTGCTCAAACGGCTATACAAGAAATTTTTTTCGGCGTTTTAATGTAGCAAATAGATGGGGTGATTTGGTTACTATAAAAGTCCATGGAGGATGGCAGTCCTCAACTTCTACAGCATAGTATGATGCCTCTACCTCACAGTCGCATTGCACAGACAATAATCTGAATAATCAGACTAATGAACACAATTTTGTGACAATAGCAGCCCAACAAAACTTTTCAGCAAATTTGATGAAGAACGCTCAAAATACCTCTAATGTTATAGTTAAAGTATATTACAATCGCACCATTCAAAGCCACAATTGATCACATGATTATTAGAGATTATTTCTTTCATAAAATATAATAATTATGTGAAACATTCATTAAAACTAGAGTTCCTTAATGTACTTGACACTGCGCTGTTTTGACGTTTTTTGTATACAAAGCAGCATGCATTATTTGTTGCGCCCTGTTTCTAGACGCTAGTGTTTCTGATACACTTCTGACAGTTTGACATTACCATTACCAACTTAGTTGTTCATTTTCATATTAAAGACGCAAAATGGAAAAAGAATCTTTTCCACTCACCCGTCTTTCCCGCTTTTATCGTGCAGACCGTGCTGCGGCGGAGGCGGCATGGCGTAGCAGGCGCCAGGCGAGTACCCGCCCGGCGGCGGCCCTCCCACCGGGTAGGCGGCGGCCGGCGGGTAGCCGGCGGGGGCGCACGCGTACGGCCCGGCGCCGGCCCCCGCGTAGGGGGCGGCGTACGGGTTGGCAGACGGGTAGTCGCTCGCCCCCGGCATGCCGTAGCCGGGGTGGGGGCTCATCGGACCGTAGCCTGGAACGAAAAGGAAAATATTGCTTAAATTTTCAATTCATGAACCAGGATGGATACTCTCAATAGGCACAAAAAACTTTGAGAATTGGTCGTGTAAAACATCAACCGTTTGAAATCATTTCCACCTCTCAAAGAGTATATATCAAAGTTAAAAAATTCGTATTTTCAACAAATCCTGATACGTATTTCTTCAACGTTGTCTTAACTAGGGTCCCTTGATGGAAATTGACGTTAATGTCATCTTAACAGGGTATGGACAGATGGGACAGATCATAGCTGCATTCTTTTTTAATGATCTTGAAGATACTTTAGTTTTGTCAACTGGCATCCCTGACATTGCTGTCACGACACGTCCATGGGCGCTACAGAAAATCATTCAGAATTTTAATAATATAGGTTCGTACAGGGTATTTACTTGTTGAGGAAGATCATATCCCAATCAGTACAAGTACGTCTTATGGACGTTTTAAAAACGTCCACTCTGGACATTCAGGACGTTTTGGGGACGTCCATTTCTGGACGACGGACGTCTTATGGACGTTTTGAGGACGTCCATTGTTAATAATCAGGATGTTTTGGGGACGTCCAGTTTAGGTCCAGACTAGGACCTTTTTGGGATGAAAAATGGACGTATTGAGGACATTCAGACAATATTGATTATTGATTTTCTGACCCATCTGAAGAGTGAAATACTTGAATATTAGTTAACATTTATTCGCAAACAATAATATGAACAGAGATTCAGGTAGTTGTTTCAATTTCACTCTTCCATATCGTATATCAGCAGCTGCACCACTAAAAACGTCGCGTGATTCATCCAGGTACGCAGGCGCGATGATGTCTTTTTCTGATTGGCAGCCTTCTGTTGTCTTCTTCACTGGATCTGTAAATAATAATAATATTCAATAACATCTTCTGTGAATACCATAAACCATAAACACACACCCACTTTCAACGTGTAGTAGTCAGTATAGCGGAATACTTCATTATTTTTATTTCATTGAGAACTTATTCCATACATAAACTGATCTTAGGTAGGTACCTATATAACCTCTATGAACCTTGCACGAATTATATTATGTTTTAACTATATACAAAAATATAAACTTTGGTAGATGATGGAAATAGGATTAGGTAGAGCTTTGCATGAGATCAAATTATTTAGAAAGGTATCTAATGTTTTCAACTACAGATTTGATGTTCTTACTCAATCATCTTCATGCGAATGAAAATAAAACGATAGCGTCGATAGCCATACTTGCCTTCAAATAAACATCTCGATGGAACTCGAGATCGAAGTTCACCAGTTGATAGATGATATCCGCAAAGATTTCACTGCTTTTACAGTCTAATAACCCGAAAAGTTCAGAATGTCCTTGGACCTGAATCACAGTTTAATCGGCACTCGGCAGTGGTCAACTGACGGACGCCATCTTCCTACGTTTTCGTTTCACAGTTTCACACGTAACACGCACAGTGTTGCCGGATGAAAATTTGTCGGAGCAGTAGATGGGTGGGGAAAAAACAGTAGATCATCAAAACTGAACAGAAGATTTTGATAATCATCACAATTGCTATCATAAATGAAAAAACATAGTCACCTATATAATAAACGAAAAAAAAAATCATGTTCGGTCTCTATACCTATCAAAAATCGAACGAAGAATAACAAAAAATAATGAAATAAAAAATAAAATTTGTGAACACCGCAACCAGATTGGAAATAAAAGCTAATTTTCACTAATCAGACTGAATATGATAGTTGCAGTATATTTTTATCATACATCTTCTTACTGTGATGTTTCATTAATTTTTCATTGTTGCATATTGGGTAGTTACGTCATATCAAAACTTGACCAATCAGACCATTGCCTTGAATAGTTGAACAGTGTAGAACGGAGACAAAAACAGTAGATCTACTGCTAAAATAGTAAGTCTGGCAACGCTGAGAGGTTTAAGAATGGTCAAACTGTATAGGTATTATGTGATTGAAGGAATATGATTCAACATAACTATATAAGTTGGTACAAATCAGTTAAAATCATAAATATTTCAAATTCATAATATTGATATAATGAAATGAAATTCAATATATTGATACAGCTGATATGTAATATATTTTTTGACATTATTCATGTCCATATTCAATTCAATAATTCTAATTTCAAAATTTATATATACCTACCTACTTATATCAATTTAAACTGATATACCGTGAGAGTCTGTAAATTGGACGTTTTAAAGACGTCTTTTTCTGGACGTCCGGAGTATGTCCAATAATGGACGTCTTAAAAACGTCCATAAAAGGTCCTGGACGTTCAGACCAAAAATGGACCTGAAATGGACGTCTTCGGGACGTCCCGTGCTATCTGGGATGGGGATCGAGTTTTGTAATTATGATCCGATTCTATTCAAAATTAGTATCTGGGGGTTTTCGGGGTTGGAAATAATGATTGTTTCGTGAAAATTGTAAAATTCAGGATGACGGATCGAATATGGCGAAAGACATTTCTAATTATGATCTGATTCTATCAAAGTTTGGTGTCTGGGGGTTTCCGGGGTCGAACTTTTTTTGTCAAAATTGGGATATTCAAGATATGGCGGATCCAATATGGCGAACGAGCTTTGTGATAAATAGTTGTTTGAAAAATCAATTGAACACGCGTTCGTAGATACTTAGTCGAATTAAGAAGAAGTAGAACATGAGAATAGTAGTTTCAAAAACTGAAGAGATAGATTATTGCCGAGCTGAAAACGAGTACGAAATGAATAGTATCTTGAAAAATTAAAGAAACACGCTTTCATGAATTGCCGAACAGAAAAGAAGTAGAAAATGAAATGAATAAAGTAAACTGGTGAATATTTTCTAGAAATATTGTGCATAGCAAAACAACGTTTGCCAAGTCAGTTAATAATCTAGTAATGATATTAATTTATTATACGTTTATAATATACTCTTTGTATATTGTTGAAAAAGAAAATATTGACAGTGTCAAATGATTTCTGAATTTTAATGATTATAAAATTGAAGAAAATGAAAACATTTTACGATTAAATAAGGATATATTATTTACTACGATACGATATTTTCCGATTCTCTTTTGAAAAAAATGGCGAAATGTGCTGTGTTAGGCTGTGCCAATCAGGATGGCAAATTTCAATTTGTAAGCATTCTAACAGATGAAGATAAACTCAAAACATGGAAAGTAAACATGAAGAGACCGAACTGGAAAATCGGTAAATTGAGCAATATACAGGGTGTTCATTTCAGGACTTCCCACCCTAATTTTCTCGAAATGTGTGTATGTTTTTGAAAAATCCCGAGACACGTCAACTACATTTTCGAGGGGGACATGGTTCTAAAATATTTTCAGCCCCGCGGCGTTGCCGCTTCTAACGAAAAGAAGCAACAACTTTGTTATTTCAAATGGAACACCCTGTATTTTATTGCATTTTTAGATTCTCCCTGAAAAGCTGATTTCATCAATGCATCACACTTGGGGTCTAGCAGGAATGATTAGAGAGATATATAGTGTTCAAAATCGAGATTTTACAACTTTAGGATTTTTTTGAGTCGAAACTATTCATTATTGGTCAAAACGGCTTTTATGTCCCTATCTCAACTTTTGATTTACTATCTACTGACATTTATTTGAAACAAATACAGGGTGGTTCAAGATTCAGACTTTTGATCACCCTGTATTTGTTTCAAATAAATGTCAGTAGATAGTAAATCAAAAGTTGAGATAGGGACATGAAAGCCGTTTTGACCAATAATGAATAGTTTCGACTCAAAAAAATCCTAAAGTTGTAAAATCTCGATTTTGAACACCCTATATCTCTGTAATCATTCCTGCTAGACCCCAAGTGTGATACATTGATGAAATCAGCTTTTCAGGGAGAATCTAAAAATGCAATAAAATACAGGGTGTTCCATTTGAAATAACAAAGTTGTTGCTTCTTTTCGTTAGAAGCGGCAACGCCGCGGGGCTGAAAATATTTTAGAACCATGTCCCCCTCGAAAATGTAGTTGACGTGTCTCGGGATTTTTCAAAAACATACACACATTTCGAGAAAATTAGGGTGGGAAGTCCTGAAATGAACACCCTGTATGTGATTTCTGATTTCTGACCTGCCGGTTCCCTGTAGGCGTCCATGTAGTGGCTGCCACCGCTGTCGGGGGTAGATTCGCGACTGTATCCGGAAGAGGGCGCCAGTACCGGCCCACCGCCGCCTCCAGACGTCGTGGAAAAAGGGGGCCGCACGCCACTGAAACGAACCGGAGAGTCAGTAAGTCAGACCATCCTAATATTTATCATTCAGGCTCAGGGTGGTTTTCGAGTAATTTTGAAGTGCATTCCAATTTAGTTGAGTGTGCCAGGTTTCTCGGTTGTTAGTTGAGATAGAACCTTATTGCGGTTTCCACGTTTTTTTTTTTCAATTCTTTTGTGACACTCAAGATAGTCTAATCAGATTTTGTATACCTATTTCTGTTCAAAAGGAACAGTTCTATTTTGGAAACTCATACTTTTTGGACCCCCTCTTAATTTACGAATTCATTAGAAATAATATTGCGCTGAGAACTGTCTAACAGAGAATTCTGCGCAGATTCCAATTCAATTTTTATTTTAGTTTGGATTTGGAGATACGATATACGATCCTAATAATTTTCGATGGATTACCCTGTATTTCACTATTTCGTTGAACGTTATTTTTTCCTAAAATGATGTATGTGTATAAACATAGTATTATTGGCCTAATATTTTCACATTCCAGTAATGAGTGTGACAATTCCAAAAATTCTTAAACCGTTTAGAGAAAACAGATGGTATGATATGTTTCTCCTCCTTAAAGGAATTTTGAAAAAATTTCCTTTCATCCTGTTTTTGGATGTATGATGAATTGATATTCATCATACAGCACGTGGAGAGAAATTCTGAATTTAGAGAACCTAATCACGAATCTGCGATTGAAGGTCTAAAAATAACAAGTTTCCATCGTTCAAGTTTGAACCACTTGATTGGGTGAAAATATCATTTTTTTCTCGGTTTATTCAACAGAAAACAACTACTTTCCTGGCTATATTCCACGACGAACATTGAATTATATCTATTGAACACACACGATAAGAATTCGAAAACAAAATCTTCTGAAGTAGAGAATTTGCATTCTCCTTCATATATTAAGATATGTATATGTACATAATATTATTCTGTTGAATATTCTCAAAAGGGAAGGGACCAATTCTTTATGAAATCCTACACGAAATGTTCTTACAGGCGGAAAACTGACGTCATATATTATTGTATTTTATGGTTTCAAATCTCCATATGTGCATTTTCATATGATCCTGTGAAGGGTTTTCAAAAACAGGCACATCTGAACAGTATTTTTGCGAACGAAATATAAGTAATTATTTACTCGGAAATCACAATTTTCTTCCTGCTGGAATTATTGAACGTTCCAAAATTTGTTGTTAATTTGAATTCACCATTTACCGAGGCTGAACATGAGAAAAATGAAGCCAATCCTGTAAAATTTGGAATGAGGTGCTTTTTTGCATATAGGGGTTCGAAAGCGTGGGGAACAATAATATGGAGTTAGTTTTCTTGCAAAATAATTCCTTATATGATTTAATTGAAAATGTTCCCCTTTACAAAAGAAGCTGAAAAGAGATATAGAGGGGGGGGGGGGCGTTTGAAATGAGAAACGCACACTGTAGATTCCTCATCAATGTTGAATATTTGGTACAGATCTATTCCAGCAGACGCCGATTTCAGTAGTGTACGTGGATTATTTCTGAGAAAGTCGCTAATATGCCCAGAAAACTCAAGATTCCTGGGATGTCACATTCATGTCTTGTCTAGGTTAGTCTAGGTTACAAGGCGAATTACAAGAAAACATCATTGGTACTGCCACTGCCAGGGGACTCTTCATTTCACAAAAATCTCGCAATATTCGTCACATTTAATTGGATTTGATATTTTATACTTGTAGGTGTATTTGTGAGGCTCCCTAATAACACAGAGACTCACGGGAACAGTGGAACTTCACATTCTTGTCTATTCATGTAACACACGGAATCAATCAATTTTGATGTTGAATGAGGATTCGCTTAATACGTACTGTGAGTTTCATTCGACATCATAATGTGGATTATTAAATGACCAAAAGGGTTCGGAATAGCAGTCATTGTTATTTCAGTGGGACTATCATTTTGAGTCTCGGATGTGATGTGTGGCATGAATTTGATGCCCTCCTATATCTCTGGGATCAATCTGTGTTAACTGGGTGGGTTCTGGATTTTGCAGACCCTGAATGTGATCTAGTGGGCCTTGGTTTTTAAAAAAGTGGACCCCGATTAATTACAGAATATACCTTTCCTCCGTCTTCATTAAAATACAATCGTGAAAATCGGTCCATAAATAAAAAAAATAATTATGAGGATTGCCCGCTTTGAAATGGGTCACTCTGTATGAGGAACATATTCGGGAAAATAGGTATTCAATCGAATATACCCCACATATCTATATTCTATGCACCCTGTATTATTAGATGTTTGCCAGGCAACGCATAACATAATGATTCACCATCACAAAACCGACCCTTATTACTCCTTTATTAGGAAGGTGAGACCGACCTGTGGGAGAGCCTGCTAACGCTGAGGTCCAGCGTCTGTCCTTGGGGGCTGGGCACTTGGGGACTGGCCGACAGGTGGGGGGAAGCGGCCGCTTGCGGGCTGCCGCCGACCCGCTGCCCGCCCCCGCCACCGACGTAGTGCGGGCTGGAGTAAGCCACCTGCGAAAATGGAACGACCCCAACGATAAGTTATGGAGGTTAGGTTAGGTTAGAGTTCCTAAATGTAATAGGCCGCGTGCATGATGACCGACCCTGGAGGCAAAATATTGAAATACAACCTCACTCTTCTGTGAATTATTAAAACACAACCTCACTTTCTTATTTGTTTACAGAGGAATCAAAGGATTAAAATAGTTTTTCACAATATTTTGGCATAAGAATCGTGTTTTTTTGCGCTATTCATTAATTCAAGCATGCCTTCGCATTGTGCTGTTGTACAATGCAGCGAGAGACGAAGGAATATGATTTTTCAGGTAAATAGTTATCTCACATAAAAATTATAAAACGTTCATTTCTGGACGTACTGGGTTCGTACGATTCCTATGTACTGGGTACGTCCAACTCTGGACGTTATCAACTTTTTGTGGACGGGATTGAATAAATCGTATAATGATAATTGAAATCATTGCATATAATTTCTACCCTCGATCACTGATAGGTATCTATATCCATATAGGAACCTTGCAAACATGAACATAATAAATTCAATTCTTTTTTTACTGGCCGTACGACCCAATCACAAACATCTATTTAGGTATTCTCTGCCGTGATCGTCTAATTCTATGAAAGTATATACAGTATGATGCAAATGTATGGAATAAATTCATTTCAAAACAAGCCGACTTCCGAAAAAAATCCAAAAAGTAGGTTTCAGAACTTTTTTATCGATGTATTTTTTCAACTAGACGATCCTTCGATGTTCAATTCTCAGTAGAAGATCTCTGCAAGATTCAGTTAACCAAATGATAATCCATTTTGATTTCAATCTTCTTCTGCGAAATTTTGACTATTGGATAGACGATCAGTAGGCCTTTCAAACGAGGTGTCACATGACCCCTGATTGTATTTAAAAAAACCGTCCATTACGTCATTACTCCAACACCGGTGACGTAACATCTCTCATATGAATGCCATGAGATGAGGTTTCAAAAATTAAAACTCACGTGTTTTTGGAATTTCTTCAAATGTCGCCCATTTCTGAAATAATGAATTTATTCCATATATTTGCATCATACTGTATATCGATGTGAAGGGACAATCGACATTCGCACATAATCTCATCGTCAATAAGTAGTCTCTTCATAGAGTAATAGGTAGGTATAGGTAATCTTATTAGCTGTCTGAGTAAAAAGAGGTGGATCTATGTTCATTCAGGTATTCATGGTCCTGAATGGACGTACTAGGGACGTACAAACGCGTGGAATCTGAACGTCCTCAGTACGTCCATAAGACGTCGAGTGTACCAAATCTGGACGTCCCCCGTACGTACGGAACGTCCTGGCCGGACGTTTTCAGTACGTTTTGAGGACGTACTTATGCTATATGGGTAATAGATTGAAAAGTCTACAACAGACACGATCATATTTCGTCAGCATGTCAGACCAGTCCTCTCGATTGATTGCATGAATCCAATCTTCTTGCATTATTTTAGAAATTTCACGTGTATTTCTATTAGCTCCTATTGCAGAAGGAATTCCGATGAGAAATCAGAGAAATTACCAAATTTCAAAAATGAAAACTATATGTGAGTGACTATATAGTAGGTACTTACTTTCAAATCATAATGTACCAACCGGATTCCCTCGCGTGTTCCGCTGCAGTTTTTGTGCATTGTACAACAGCACAATGTGATGACATGAGCGAATTAATGAAAGGCCGAAAAATACAATTCGTATTCCAAAATAGTTGTGAGAAACTATTTCAATCACTTGTAAACAAATAAAAAAAGTGAGGTTGTTTTTCAATGTTGTTCCTCCAGGGTCGGTCATCTGACAGCTCTTGCACGCAACCCATGGCATAGGAATCAGTATTTTTTCTCATTTGTTTACAAGTGATTGAAATAGTTTCTCACAATTATTTTGGCACGAATCGTATTTTTGGCTGCTATTCAATAATTTGCTCATTGTGCTGTTGTACAATGCACAGAAACTGCAGCGGAAGACGAACGAATCCGGTTATTGGTACATTATGATTTGAAAGTAAGTACCTACTATAGTCACTGACATACAGTTTTCATTTTTGAAATTTGGTAATATCTCTGATTTCTCATCGGAATTCCTTCTGCAATAGGAGCTAATAGAAATACTCGTGAAGTTTCTAAAATAATGCAAGAAGATTGGATTCATGCAATCAAACGGGAGGACTGGTCTGACATGCTAACGAAATATGACCGTGTGTGTTGTGAACATTTTCATTCTATTAGCAGTATTAGCTTGTATTTCAGAAGTGGCAGAAGGAATTTTAATAAGGAATGACAACATTTCATAAGGAAAACTATGTGAGATTACTATTTACCTGAAAAATCATATTCCTTCGTCTCTCACTGCATTTTTTGTAAAACTACTGATCGGCAAATGTTTTTCGTTACCAAGAGAAATGTATCCGATAAAAAATAAGTTCTTGTGTTTTTACTATTGATAAATTTACCGACCAGATCGAAATTCTTCATCATGGCAGCAGAATAACCATACAAACATCTACTGATACTCTCAACTTGAACATCCTGTCTCTCGAAAATGAATCATTTTTGGTATATACTTATGGAAACTCCTGGTACTCAACATTTTACTAAAGTTTCACTGTATAATATAATGAACATAAATTTCAGTCAACTACGAGAAAATCGCATCCTTGTGTTAGGGTCATAATATATACACCTTAGCAGTTTATTTATTCATAATTCGACCTCTGACCGCCCTAACACAGGTGGGCAAACATAATCATCTGGTAATAAGGCAGGAATCTGGCCGGACACGTAATTTAAGGGTGTCCACTATCTCTTCTGAATCCCGCGAATATGCCGGTCGAGTGACTTAAACCTGCGTTAACCCTAACCCTAACCCTATCCTGAATAAATAATAGCCGTTTATAACGAACTCTGAGATGCAGTGCATTATACTTTCAGGTAATACGTTTCTGCTCTAGGGTCAACTCTCCTTCTGGGACCAGTTTTTCATTACATCTCACTGGGTAATTTATTTTGAAAAAAATCTTACATAACTACCATTTCGAAATGAGATCATGAATTTATTATATTATGAGACAATTATTCGGTTTCCTATATTTCGAGTTCAGCGATTGGTCGTGCTTTGAATGAAAATCCAGAGGGCTGTGCTCGAGAATATACAATAGAGAATTTCCTAGAAGACGATGATCTAACACAAGAAAAGTTTTGTGTGCTGTTGACAATGTAAAATTAGAATAAAATGATTCATTCTTGCTATTTTGTTTTGACTCGATCAACTCTACACTCGTGAAACAATTGTAATGTCCTGAGACTGTATATATACAGGAAGACGTTTCAGTCAAAATGTTAGACAATACAGAGTGTTTCAGCTTTTAATGTAAATACAATACCTGTAGACAGATAACATTTTGGTGATTCCAAACACCTCTCTTTGATGTGTCCACCGTTTTTAATAACTGAGATGCCAGTTCGTTATATTGATTTTGGCAAAATCTCCATCTAGTTATGATTTTTGAAATACTTCAAGTTATTCATTCATTCATTGTATAATCTACTGGACTTTAATATAAAACAGACCAAAGGGAATTTTGCGGCAAAAAAGAAGATTAAAAAAATGGATTCTCGATAACTATGAATTGATTCACGAAAACTTGGAAAAAATCAATAACTAATTTCTAGGAACTTGATACTCATTATATTATTATTTTTCTGTGAATGTATATGGAAGTGTTTTTCATATCGGTGTTCGGATCGAACTTTCAATCTACAGTGTGGTCATTAAGTGTGCAACATATGGGAATCTTTTTAATGAATTGCACAACCAAAATACAGATAGTGCCAAAAGTTGGTGCATGTTCGGTAATCATTTTAGGTGCACTTAGAATGGTTGCAAGTAACACAGCATACAGGGTAGGTCAAAAAATATAAAAATTGCTCAAGAGTAAAGTACCCTTATTTCAGATAATTCAGCAGAATGTTATCAAGAAAAGTTGTTTACAATTGAAAATTATGCCTAAATACCAAAACATTGCCTCCTAAGACATGTTTGAGTTTTTCAATTATGTTCGTGAATAATTTCCCAATTTGTAATTTTTTTTTATTCACATTGAATACTTTCATGAGTTGATCATAACAAAATCAGTTGACTATAAATTTGTTCAGATTCAAGCATATTTGTGCAATTAATTTACTTGGATTTTAATTTTTTTAGGGAATCACAAACTTTATGTTTGTTGCAACGATATTCAGCTTAGCTTTAAAACTTCAAACCATATTTTTAACAAGGTAAAACATCATTAATGATAATATGCATATTCAAAAAGTTCCATTCAATGTGCACATTTTGTATTTAGAATATTACAAATTGGGAAATTAACGAACAGAATTGAAAAGCTGAACATTTTTTAGGGGGGCCATGTTTTGGTATTTAGGCATAACTTTCAATTGTCAACAACTTTTTTCAATAACATTTTACTGAATTTTTTTAAATAAGGGTACTTTATTACTCTTGAGCAATTTTTATATTTTTTGACCTACCCTGAATGCTGTGTGACTTGCAACCATTCTAAGTGCACCTAAAATGATTACCGCGAATATGCACCAACTTTCGGCACAATCTGTATTTTCGTAGTGCAATTCAATAAAAAGATTCCCATATGTTGCACACTTAAATAACCACACTGTATAATATATAGACTACACATTTTCTTTAATTGTTCCGACCATGCTGATGGGTGAATTTTTTCTTCTTTTTTTCTAATAAATAGAGGTGAAATAGTATGTGTTGATACTCTATTAATTATTCAATTTATTATTAGGGATAGATCTAGGAGAGATATTATTATGGAAAAAAAATATACCGCACTGTTCAAAAATTACTAATATTGAATTACCTCCAGTCCAGCCCACGGGAAAAGAGTAATTTATGAAAAGTGACATTTTATAACCTGCCAACAGACATGAAATGCCAAACTCTTTTCCCGTCATAGAAAAAAATGAATTATTATTTTTATTCTGTCAAACTTTCTGAATTCCATTTGAGAAATCTGAATCACAATAGACGGTTTCTGAATTACAACTAAAAAAGGTGTAGTTTCTCACCTGAGGACTGGTGGTTGTGACGCTGGACGTGGACAGATCGATGACGGTGCCCCCGGGGGAGGTGTGCGGCCCGCCCTTCATCTGGGCGGCATGGGCGGCCGCAGTCAGACACTTCACCGACAAGTTGATGGCGGAGAAGCCGACCGGCAGGGGGCCACCCCCACCTGCCCCACCGCCCCCGCTGCCCGCCTCGTACTGGTACATCGGCCTGCGAAAAGAGCACCGTCAGTGACGTCATATGACGTGAAATTGTCGGCCGTTGAACAGCTGATGGGGCGACAAGCATACACATTTTTTCTACGGTTTTAATAGTTGCGTTTTATTTGTTCCATTCTGGTAACGGTGGTGGAAAAAGAATGACGTTTACAAATAAATGTCATGTCCTTGCATGAGAGAATAGACACATTGTAGATGACAGATGATATATTTATATATTGGGGCCCGAATAATTTCAAAATCATAATATTGAAGTAAAAAATCAAGAAAAAGAATCAATCCCAGCAAACATGTATCGCGCGGGCCTTTAGACGCCCTCCAAAAACTGCCGACAGTCAACATCAGCGGGCCACAATCATGATACATCGTCGGCCCGGCTAGCCCGTGTCGCACCGGCCGCTAGTAGGCCGCCCGACTATCTACCGACACTATTCGGTTAGAAATAAAAAAAAGATATAGTCGGGAGTCGGACTCGAACTTGCGATCGAACGGATATCCAATCAACTGTCAGACGCTTATACCACTAGGCTACTGCGAAACTTGAAAGATACTATTACGAATCCATCAGTCAACAGAATTGAAATAGTACAATACTTCAATTATATTTGATATTTGATCATATACGATATACCTATCATAACTTGTTGATTCGACGACGTAGAATAGGTTTAGTCTGATAATGTTCTAGCCACATTACTTTTCCAGTGTTTGATCTATTACTGTGAATCAAATATTTTTCGAATATAGGTAAAGAGCTGAACTTCGCATTGGAGCATCATTGTTATAATATAGGGTAATGAACAAATATTTAGCTCAAAATCATTACCACAAAAATGGATTGGTATCATATATCATTATTCTTGATGTCGGACGATAGTTTGCTGGGATCAATCATAAAACTCACCAACTTTTTCTAAATAATATTAATATTATCACGCCGTTTAACAAATACCTGAAGACAAGTGACAGACAACTGACGCGATCTACGGACACAGAACTAAAACACGAAAATAAATTAGCAGTACTACCAATGCTCAAAAACCCAGTGATGCCAACATTGCGTTTGGTTCAGTTACCACTGACCTGTAAACAACATACATACTGCGTCAAAGCGACATCGGCACGATTGTCGGGAATTTTAAACGGGCAATTTCTGGCTGAATAACAAACATCCATTATAAACATGCGTACGTTCAGCCATGGCGGCAAAACCGATGTCGTTTCAACATTTTAACGACATAGGTGTGCCGCTGCCGACAACTAACCGCAGTTACCAGCAATCGGCCGCCTATTTAACGCTCAATCATGTTTGCTGGGATGCTTATCTGGACCAGTGATTGAGCTGATTGGAGAAAGTTCTCTAAGATCGAGAGAATTCATTTTATCCGGGAATGAAGATATCAAAACTTGTCTTACTTGAGAAAAATCATAAACTGGTGAACATCACAATAAAAATGTCTTCTAGAGGTCTTCTACTTTCAGAAAGTTTCGTTTTCCATCAATCTTATTTCATTTTTTGACAACTGTCAACAGTCATTCCACTCATTCCTTGTAGTGAGACGGAATGAGAAGTAGCAACCGGAATAGGAGGAGTTACAAATAAAACGACACATTGAGGGATTCCGGTGGCGTAATAGGATAAATTGAACGCAACTAATGTTTTCGATACATCAATTAGGTACTTTGTATGTCATCAATTTTATTTCCGTATCTGATATCACAATATGACTCCATTGTATTATCATTTCAAGAAAATCTCATCGCTCATGGAATGTCAAATTGCAAGCAATGACAGCTCTGTCTAATTGATGAGCATTACCAGGAAATCAGATGGCTACAAGCCGAAAAAATCGAAAATGCCGCTGTTATCTGCTACAGCCGTAGAAAAATTATAGTGTATAACTTGCACGGAATGCTAATTTCCTACACGAATGATTGAAGCATTCGCCTATGGCTCATGCTGCAAACTTCATTCTCGTAGGAAATCACTATCATTCCGTACTCGTTAAACAATATTCTATTCCTAAAGGGTACATGTGACTTTCTTGCACATTTCACACCATAATACAATACCTGGAGCATTTATTCATTGACAGTTTTGTTAATGATTACTGTGAGAAAAGTGAGTGAGTCCAATGAAGATATTGAATTGGTTCATTTTTCAATTTAAAATTACTGGATTCACGTGAAGTTCACCTCTAATATATCTAATGTACCTCGTATAATATACCTCAATAGATACTCAGTTTGCAACAAGGTATACACATTTTCCTCGTACAATATCTACAAGTTCAACAAAATCACCAATAGGTCAGAAAGAATGAAATCAAAATTCACACACTGTTTTGTTCGTCCCCCGATCAGTTGATAAAAATGACGAGTGCGCGATGTTATGATGTCAGAGGTGACACTGGCTTGGATTCTTGGATGAAAGCGTTGTGTTATCGGTGTGAGAAATCTACTATGAATGGGTTTTTGTCATTCGTTTTGATATCAAATTGAATCTATATTGGCTAAAATAACATCACTTGGTATTTTTCACAGGTAACCGAAAACGAGCTAGAACCTTAATACCAAAATATTAGTTGACAACCATTTTGAAACAGTAGATAGTAAAAGAAGGATATGTTCCTTGATCGCCAATTGTCCATCACCGTCAAGTGAATTTGAATGGATTTACTATTTTTATATATTACGACCAGAATACTTGTAATACTTTAATCTGAGATGAATATTGATATGGTATTGGCGAGACAGTTATTGGGCGTTTCCTAGCGTTTTCCTAATAATTCGGTATCATTTTGTTTTGTAAAAGGACAACGCTAGTACAGTCAAATAGTTTTCTCTTTCCTCATACAAATATTATAAAGGATCTGGTTTAGTTTATAGCTTCTGCCTGAATACAATCATAATATTTTCTCAATTATTATAATTTCATCTGAATAAATATTCATCTCATAGATCTCACTATTTATCAACTAGCCATAGAATAATTAGATTCAGTGAATATTCAGTCGGCATTGTGTCAGTTAGTTAGGTCCAGATCCTATTCTCATTCTTCAGTCTTTCATTATCCTCCGTTCTGATGATAAACATGAATAATTCGATTAGAAAACTGAATAGTTTGATTTCTGGATCTGCTTCCTATCAACTTGCAGGTTAATTTGAAATGAAGAATAAAGTTGACGTAATTTATTGTTTCAACCCATTACTATTACTAATGAGTGGCTCTGAGTTGAGTAATTGAGATTGATTATCAAAAAAGTATGCGAGCTCTCAGAATCTACTAGTCATATGCCATGAGTATGAAGCTGGGACTTGAGTATATGAAAGGTAAGATTATCAAGCTTTGATTTGAAATTTTTTAAACTTCTACTTCAACGTCAGCAACTCTTAATATTTTTCTCAAGTTGGAAAAACTAATTTTCAAAAAAAAAAAGAATGCAGTGACATTCAATATATGTTATGTTAATCAACTAATGTTGAAGTTGAAGAAACTCTCATGATAATCTATTAAGAATATTAGCCTCAACGAAGAATACATTCTTTGTTGAGGCTAATATTCTGATTTTTCATCATCCATAAAAAAAGTATCCGAGGTGGCATTACCGAATGCTATAACCAACTCATACCTCGGGTATAAGGGCCCTGTGGGTTCCTGTTCCTCGGACTTCATCATCGCTTGCGCGTTCGCCACCGCTATCTGGTGCTGTTGCGCCGCCGCCGCCTCCTGTTGGTACCTCTGCTCTTGGTGGTCGTCCATGTACCCGTAAATGCCTTGCGGCGGTACCCTCGGAGGTCCCAAGGGCTGTTGCAACGAAACGCACTGACTCGAATCGTACCTACGATAGAAATTATTGAAGTAATGATATTTATCTATTGGGGTCATTATGGAACTCAAACGTTTTCATATTACGATACGCAACTTTAATTTTTTCAACGTTATTACATAACTGGTATTTTCGACATTTCAATATAATATACTAGTAACTTTTGTGCTGCAGCTGACTTCAAAAAAGTGTTTAAGAAAGCCAGAAGTTCTGAAGAAAAAAGAAGTATTTGAGGTGGCATTTCCAAATGCACTGAACTAAAAATGCATTAAATACCTGTTTGATGAACCAAAATATCAAAGTCTCTAGAGCAGAGTGTGTTGATTTACCTGTCAAAGCTGTTAGTACCAGGATCATAGGGCCTGTGACTAGCCGAGTTGATCAGAGCAGAGTCGTACGACCTGTTGACTATCTCGTTGGAGTAGGTGACCACCGGCCTAGCAATACCCCCTCCCATAGACTCGCTCATCTCCGTGTAGGACCTCTCTCTGTGGTACATCTCTTCGGCAATGGGTGACTGATGGTAAGGTGACCTGTGCGGTATCTGATGTTCCATACTATACCTGAAAAATGATTGATTAAGATATGTCTAGAAGTAGCATAGGTGCACTATTCATGGATGGACTGGCCTAGAAGTTCATAAGTACACTACTTATGGTTCATGTAGGAAGACTCACCCTTGTTGTTGCGAATGGGGTCCCATATGATGGATTTGGTGGCTCCTGGAGTTCATGGTATCCATGCTGGACATCGATGAGGAGTTTGAGTCTTGGTTGATGTACGGTTCATAGGCTGACCTCATGCTGGATGGTGGTGATCTGCAGGAACTTGTGATCTCAGTTTTTGGCACCAAGAGGTCTCCTTGGCAACAGTTGGTGGAAGTTATTTCGGTTTTCGGTACTTTCATAGGATCTGGCTTCACCGGGTTCGTTTTCGTGGGGTAGTATTGGTCGTATGCCGGCTTCTCCTCTGCTGTGGTCGTCGGAGGGTTATTATAACCCAGCAAGTAGTTGGGTTTGACGTCTTCAGAGGTAGGTGACCTCTTGTTTTCGTAACTCGGCGAGAATCCACTTTGGCAACCACCTGAAATCGTAGCTGTACCAACAGACCATTCACAATGGGCACATGTACGTTGATTTAACGTTTTTTCAATGTTAAATAGGTGTAATATACATTTTATTGACGTTCCTTCAACGTATAGTGCCTATAGGTAGTCAAACAACAAAGGACACCGACTGGACGTGGGGGTTCTTACCGAAAGGAGACGCAATTGGTGTTTTGATTCGGTGCAAATGTGATTGGTACTTGTGTTCTCGAGCAGCCTGCTTATTGGCCGCCGCTATGGGGCAGCCTGAGAGGCTTCGGTGGGTGTTACGATTCGAGCTAACGTGGCCCCTTCCGTTGCATCCGGAGGTGGGACATTTGAGGATGGTCTCGTGCATAGCGAGGACTGTCACGATAACAGAATCAATTTTTACTAAGTGAATTGAGTATAATAAATCGTGTGGATCGATCGGTTGGAGGATGCAACCAAACAAGCGGGTAGAGAGATGAACCGAAGAAATAATTTGGAAAGGTTGTTCCACACATCATTACAAGTGCATTTTATTATACTCAATGTCTCATTGATTCTATTCGCGTGGAGAGTAGGAAGTGGGACGGGTTTGACACGTGAGAGGATGCGGTGCTTCTAAAAACGCTCTCTACCCCGCAAAAAAAAACAAAAATCGTATGAAAAAAAATCGACAAGCTTCGGTGGGTGGTGGGAAAGATTCGTGCATGGTTGCTGGGCGAATGACTTAAAACTTACTTTCTGGTGTAACTTTGTCCCTGCGAGGACATCCTGACAGACTACACATGAAAACGCAACGTTAGCATGAGATGATTATCACACTACACTGTTTTAACACTAACCTACCGATTTCTTGCCATTTTTGATACAATAACGAAATAATAACGGTCGATCGCCGTTCTTAGATTTTCTTCTAATGAAAATTTTAATGAAAAAAAAAGAGGTAACACACTTAGAAATAGTTAAGATTACTAATCGACTTATGAATAAGTATAAATGACTTATTCCATATATTCCTATTCCTGCATAGTTTTGTGATTTAGGATTGTGATTAGCATGTGAACTCAATAATGACAGACAACGACTGCGCAGGTAGTATCTTTTTCAGTTGGGAGAACATTCGCAGTATACAGGGTGTGCCAAAATTACATAGGAAGATCTCATCTATGGATTCTAGGAACAAAAATAGTGAACAAAGTTTATATGAACATGGCTCCAGAAATGGCCTCCTGGGGGTCATAGGTATTTGTAGGTGAACCCGCCTCGATAAAATAATCAAATTCTGTACATATACCGATTTTTTCGTGCTCAATTTGAAAATGTTGAATTTTTCGAAATTTCAATCAGGGGCGTGGAAAACAGACGAGAAAATTTAAAAATATCATGATTTTCACTCACTTCACCCTTGTTTTGTTTCGATAGGACATTTTCGAGATGAATTCAAAAGTCTGCTACATAATTGAAATAGTACTTTTTCCCAATAGGGTACCTATACTAGGTTATTTTTCAATTCATTCTCTAAATGTATACAGGGTGTTAACAAATAAGTGTCACAACATGAAAATTAAACATTTTTTTCCCTTTCGAAATTTTTCTCCGGGCTTCCGTTTTCAAGATACAGGGCGTCAAAAATAACGAAAAAATCTGTTTTTTTGCTACTATCATAGGGTCCGTTTGAGCTTCGGAGTTGAGACTTCGTTCACACTTCATCATCAATAATGACTATTTTTAGGGCTCTTGATCAATTTCCTTGAACATGTCCGTGGAGGAGAATTCAACGACTCATAAGGGTTTAACTCCCCAAACGTTTATGCCACTGGACAAATTGTAATTTTCAAAGTAAATTCTGAAGCGCCAATATCTTTCACACAAAAAACGCCCTCTTTTCTCAATGCTCTAATGTGAACAGTTTTCGCGAAAAATGGCTCTTTATGAATAAGAACATACAAAATCCTGATGGTATCTCCAAAAATCGTCTAAAAATCCACTGGAAATAAACAACCTCAGAACTGTTTAATAATATATTCAATCAAATGTCAGGTTCTTGAGTTTGCTGGTTTTCAAAATGTCAAGTTTATCAAGTGTTCAAAGTGTGTTAAATTAAACTGAACATTTTTGATTTTTCGACGCCCTGTATCTAGAAAACGGAAGCCCAGAGAAAAATTTTGAAAAGGAAAGAAATTTTACTTTCATTATGAGAAATCTACAGTTTTCCGTTGTGACACTTATTTGTTAACATCCTGTATTTCAAATCAGACATTCAAAGTGGACGTTGAAAGAAGGGGTAGTTTCCATCAAACCATATTTTTTCAGAAAATTTGGTACCCTATTAAGAAAAAAGCACTATTTTCAGTACGCATCAGAATTTCGAAATCAATATATGTCGAGAATGGGAATGCTATCGAAACCAAAAACATGAAATTTCCATATTTTGTGGTCGAACTAACGAAAATTGCATGAACAAAAAAGTTGAGAGAAAAAGTACCCCTAGCCCCCTAGAGCGTTTCGAAAATATTCACATCAATCTTGGCTCTTCTTCAGATGGCTAGAACACCCCAGGGGGCCATTTATTTTTCCGCTATATTTGTTCCTAGAATTTGTGGTTGAAATCTTTCTATATAATTTCGGGACACCCTGTATAAGCAGCAGTCCTTAGAAGGATATTCAGTTTCAATCTTCTCCTGAAGAAGCTAACATGGTTATAGCGAAACACATTTCGAATCGTTAAAAATTCGATTTGGTTAGTGATGAAACAGTGTAGTGGTAGTGTGATTATCGTGCCAAAGGTTCCAGTCGTCGATATTATCAGATGATGATGATTTTAGAAGTGAGAATTTACCTTCTGTGATGCGAATAGAGTCCTGTGACGTGGCCTTGACCTGTACATCCCGGGGTGGGGCACTTGCTACCCTCTGGAAAGAAGAGAAAATCGTTATAAAAGTTTGTTACCGAAAGTTTGGCGGGATCGTTAAGGGAGGCAGTTTAGCGGGGATAAAGTTTTACGAGGGGATTTCGAGAATTTGTAGGTACAATTCGGATGGAGTTGTTTCGATTTTACGACTAGTCGATCTGTTCGAGATAGGTTTGGGCGGGCGAATTGTTCTTCCGGATATTTATTGAATAGTTCCGATGTCTAGAATGATTTGTCTCATGCAAATCCTGATCGAAAAACCTGACCAGGGGCGTCATTTCAGTGAATACCAGGGGTTATCGAAAAACTCATAATAAATGTCTGAAAAATGCGTCGCAGGTGAAATTTTTTCGGGTTCAAGGTCAAATGCCTTCAAATTGAAAAACATATTCCTTTCAGAGTGACACATCTCCGTTTCAGTGTTTACCTCGGTATTTGTTGTTGTTAGTAAAAATGCGCCGCAGGCTTAGTATTATATTATACTACTATTATACTGAATGATGTCTCAACAATTTTGAAATAATATATTTTTTTCTGTGACGGGAAAACAGTTTGAATTTTCATCTCTGTTGATAGGTTATGAAATGTCACCTTCCATAAATAATTTTTTCCCACGAGAAAAATGTGAGTACTCTTTTCCTGGATGTATATCACATATACAGGGTGATTCAGGTTTCAAGGCACAAACTGTAATGAGAGATAGATCTCATCATTTTAATCAAGAAAGTAAACATTAGTCCAATCTCGTTCAGTAGCGGAGCTACAAGGGGTCAAAGTTTAATTATTTTTTTCTATTAACTGAAATATCTCGTATACTTTTCAAGATATCATTTCGAAATTTGGCGTGGTCAATTCTTCCTAGAAGATCATCATTTCAAGCATTTTAAAGATTTCCAAAATCTACAGGGTGATACGTTTTTGGAGGTAGAGCCTTCTTTATCCCCTTCAAACTTTTTCGTAGTACGCCTCTGGCATCTTTCAGTGATCAAATTGTGTGGATCGTTGAATTTAGAGGCTTTTTTTGCTCCTCAAATTTTTTTCGCGAAACGAACTGTTTTTGAGATAAATAAGCATATACGTTCGAAAACATTTTAATTTTGCTTATGTTTCGCTTAAATTGTATTCTTTGACAAAATTCGTTGAAAATGTTCTAAGATTGCAATGTTCTTACGCACGTTACTGATCTAGATAGGACTCGTGATTTCAATTTTAGTGAGTACATTTCATTGCATTTTCAACGGATTTTGTCAAAGAATAAAATATTTAAGCGTAACATAGGCAAAATAAACATGTTTTAGAACCTAAATGCTTATTTATCTCAAAAACGGTCCGTTTCTCGAAAAAAAAAATGTGGAGCAAAAAAGCCTCTAAATTAAACGATCCACACAATTTGATCACTGAAAGATGCCAGAGGCGTACTACGAAAAAGTTTGGAGAGGATAAAGAAGCCTCTACTTCCAAAAACGTATTACCCTGTAGATTTTGAAAATCTTAAAAATGCTTGAAATGATGATCTTCTAGGAAGTATTGACCACACCAAATTTCAAAATGATATCTTGAAAAGTAAGCGAGATATTTCAGTTAATAGAAAAAAATAATTGAACTTTGACCCCCTGTAGCTCCGCTACTGAACGAGATCGGACTAATGTTTATATAAACTTTTTTGATTGAAAGGATGAGATCTATCTCCCATTTCAGTTTGTGCCTCAAAACCTGAATCACCCTGTATATACACTGTTTTTGTATAATAAATAACTATCTTTCAATTTCAAGTACTGATATTATACTAAGTGGTTACAGGAAGAATCTAAGAGGATTGCATTTTTTGTTGAAAGTCAGGAGGGGAGCAATTGCTCCCCTGTTCCCCCTCTTAAATGACGCCCATGAACCTGGATCTGAATATATAAAAATCTCACAGTCCCATGAGATAGATAGTTTTGGAGTACAGATTTTTGATATCTGGTCATATCATATTGAAACCTCTTCAAAACACCTAGAATTTTCTACATTTTTTGATTCAGGAGATCGTTTTTGATAATGTAGGATTTTCGTTCAATGCTGTTTCATAAAGTGAACTTCTTGGAGGCTGTGGTTAATTGATATAGCCCCAAAACACAATAATATTCAGAGAAGCCTCGTAGTATTTCGGCAACTGTGTTGAACTATCAGCCAAGGCCTCTGAAGTAAATCATTCAATCAGAATTTCAAAAGAAGTAAAAATTAATCCAAAATGATTTATCACTCCTAGAAAAATAGCTGTTGAGTCACTGGAACAGATATACATGAAAACAGGGGGGCGCAAGGTTAGTAGAATTAATGTTTATTCATTTTGTAGAGCGAGGTTACCACGATCAGAAAACGCGGTGAGGGGAGGTAGTAATTCGTGACGTAATCGCATCCAAAATTTTATGTTGGGATCATTTGAATGTATGTATAATTCTAGATCACTTCTGGATAGGTTAATATA